TCCAGCTCTGCCCCCTCCCTGTGCCACCGGCCCCGTGCCAGGGCACTGCACCCTAGAAAAGCATCCGGGCTCAGGCCTGGCAGCAGATCTGTGCCCTCCTCCCGGGGTACCACCCCAGCCTGGTCATTCCTTCCATCCCCATCCTCCCCCTATTCCCAGGAGACCACCCCAGCCCGGTCATTCCATCCCCCCAGCCCTGGGGGACCACCCCAGCCCAGTTATTCCTTCCATCCCTCCATCCCAGGAGACCACTCCAGCCTGGTTATTCCCTCCATCCCCATCCCTCACCCCAGTCTGGTTATTCCAGCCCTTTCCATTATTCCCTCCATCCCAGGGAACCACCCCAGCTCGGTTATTCCCCCCCACACCTCTCCATCCCCTGATGCTCCCCCCTCCCAGGTTGTACCAGATTCCCTTCGGGATGCCGGACTGCCAGGACGAGTCTGAGGCCCGCACCCTGTACCTGGTGGGCGACTTCTCTGCCCCCGCCGAGTTCTTCGTGACCCTGGGGGTCTTCTGCTTCCTCTACTCCATGGCAGCCCTGGGGATCTACCTCCGCTTCCATTCCCTCTACTCCCAGAACACCAAGCTCCCCTTCGGGGTAAGATGGGAATGACCCCCCAACACCCCCGATCCAGCAGGGGGGTCCTGGGCTGTGGGGGAGGGGGCTGTGCGTGGGAATATTTGTGTTTAAGGAGGGATGAGTTTTCCGGGGAAAAGCGTCAACCCCGGCAGTTCCCACAGGGAGGAGCTCGTGTCTCCCACCCGGGGAGCGGTACCAGGGTGGCCGTGCCACCCCTGGGGGGATTTGATGGGCTCTGCTTGTTCCATCCATCCGCATTCCCAAGGACCCACCCCAGCCTGGTTATTCCAGCAATTTCCATTATTCCCTCCATTCCAGGGGATCACCCCACCCTGGCTATTCCCTCCATCCCCATTCCCAAAGACCCACCCCAGCCTGGTTATTCCAGCAATTTCTATCATTCCCTCCATTCCCAAGGAGACCATTCCAGCCTGGTTATTCCATCCGTCCTCCCCATTCCCAAGGAACTACCCCAGCCTGGTTATTCGCTCCATCCCAGGGGACCAGAATCATTGATAATCCCAGAACAGAATCATGGAATCATCAATGTTGGGAGAGACCTTTAAGCTCATTGGGTCCAACCCCCGCCCCAGCAGTGCCGGTACCCCCTGAGCCCCCAAACCCCATCCCCTGGACCCCTTCCCACCCCCGGGCAACTCCTCCCGGTGCCTGACCCCCCTTCCATGTCCAGGGAAGGGCAACGAGGCTGGGGAAGGGTCTGGAGCACAATTCCCATGAGGAGAGGCTGAGGGAGCTGGGGCTGTTGAGGCTGGAGAGGAGGAGGCTCAGGGGAGACCTCCTGACTGTCTGCAACTCCCTGACAGGAGGGGGGAGCCGGGGGGAATTCAGGCTCTGCTCCCAGGAAGCAGCAGTAGGACAAGAGGGCCTTAAACTGTGCCAGGGGAGGTTTAGGTTGGATATTAGGAAGAGGTTCTTTCCCGGAGGTCATGGAATCAGAGAGTCACAGAATCATCCAGGTTGGGAAAGACCTCCAAGATCATCCAGTCCAACCCTTGATCCAACCCCGCCGTGGTTCCCAGCCCATGGCACTGATGCCACATCCAGTCTGTCCTTAAACACCTCCAGGGACAGAGAATCCACCCTCTCCCTGGGCAGCCCATTCCAATGGCTGAGCACTCTCTCTGGAAAGAAATTCTTCCCCATGTCCAACCTAAACCTCCCCTGGCACAGCTCGAGGCCTGGCTTTCCCAGCCCAGCTGAGTCTCTCATTCTCTGATTCCATGACTCCGTGACTCCGTGATTCCATGATCCCACGACTCCGTGATTCCACGCTCCCGCAGGATTTCTGTGTCACCGTGTGCTTCGCCTTCTTCTGGCTGGTGGCGGCGGCGGCCTGGGGGAAGGGGCTGAGCGACGTGAAGGCGGCCACGCGCCCCGGGGCCCTGCTGGGCGCCATGGCCGTGTGCCAGGACGAGGGCGTGCGCTGCAGCCCCGGCACCACGCCCGCCATGGGGCTGGCCAACATCTCCGTGGTGAGTGAGGATGGGGTTTGTGGGGTTTGTTCTGGCCAACATATCCGTGGTGAGCGTTTGTGGGGTTCGTGGGGTCTATGGGGTTTGTTCTGGCCAACATCTTCATGGTGAGTGAGAGTGGGGTTATGGCCATGGTGAGGGTTTATGGGGTTTGTGGGCTTTATGGGGTTTCTGGCCAATATCTCCATGGTGAGCGTTTGTGGGGTTTGTGGGGTCTATGGGGTTTGTTCTGGCCAACATCTCCGTGGTAAGGATGGGGTTTGTGGGGTTTATGGCCAACATCTTCATGACGAGTGAGAGTGGGGTTATGGCCAACATCACCGTGGTGAGGGTTTATAGGGTTTGTGGGCTTTATGGGGTTTCTGGCCAACATCTCCATGGTGAGTGAGTATGGGGTTTCTGGGGTTTCTGGCCAATATCTCCATAGTGAGTATGGGGGTTTATGGGATTTATGGGGTTCCTGACCAACATTTCCATGGTGAGTATGGGGTTTATGGGACTTCTGGCCAACATCTCCAGGGTGAGTATTTATGGGGTTTATGGGGTTTATGGGGTTTCTGGCCAACATCTCCAGGGTGAGGTGTGGCCAGCAGCATTGGCATGGGCATGGGGGGTGGTCACTTGAGGAAGTGGGTTCGGGGGGGTTTGAGTGGAGCTGAGTGACCCCCGGGCCTTGTGGGGCACACATGGGCACAAGGGTGTCATTGTGCCCTTGGGGAGGGGGTTTGTGGGGTTTCAGGCAGAGCTGGGCATTGCTGGGTTCCCAAGCTCGGCCAGGAGAGGGCAGTGGGAATGGGAGAACACACATGGGAACGGGGGAACACACGTGGGAATGGGGTGGCAACACACATGGGAATGGAAGAACATTTGAGAATAGGTGGGAACACATGTGGGAATGGGGGAACATGTGGGAATGGGATGGGAGCACAGGTGGAAATGGGGTGGGAACCCCCCACGGCCACGGCACCCACCCCCCCTGGGCCCCACGGGCTGTGGGACCCACCCTGCACCCCCAGGAAATCCCCCCAGCCATGGGGCACCCCCAGGGTGGGTGTTTGAGGTCCAGGGGGTGTATGGGGTGTATGGATGTATGGGATATAGGGGGTGTATGGGATTTGGGGATGTGTGGGGTCCATGGGGTGTGTGGGATTTGGGGATGTATGGGGTATGTGGGGTCTATGGGGTGTGTGGGGTGTATAGGATATATGGGATGTAGGGGATGTATGGGATGTACAGGGTGTGTGGGAATTGTGGGATGTGGGGATGTGTGGGGTCCTTGGGGTGCCCAGGGCACACAGGACACACACAGTGCTTGAAGCTCACGGGGTGTGTGGGGCACCGGGTGCTGTTCTCACCCGTGGGTGCCCCACGTGACCCTCTCCCTCCCCCCTCTCCCTTCTCCCCTCCCCTGTCCCCTCTCTCTGTCCCCTATCCCTGTCCCCACCCATTCTCCCCGTCCCTCGTTCCCGCAGCTTTTCGGGTTCCTGAATTTCCTGCTCTGGGCCGGGAATTGCTGGTTCGTGCTGCGGGAGACGCCGTGGCTGCGGCCCCCCCCGGCGCGGGACAGCGATGCCGAGCAGGGCGCCATCGACAAGCAGTGACCCCCCCCCGGGACCCCCCCGGGACCCCCCGGCCCCGGGTCCTCGCGCCGGCCGCCAACCTGGGGGGGGGCGTCGCTGGGTTGGAGCCGCGGGGGGGGTCGGATGGTCCAGGAGGGGGGGCCGGGCAATGCCGGGGGTCCCGCTCGGGGTCGGGGGTCTGTGTGTCACCCGCGGGGGGTCCGCGGCTGTGCGGGGGCGCATAAAGTCCTGGGTACCAGCTCTGGGTTGGGGGTCCTGCTGTCTGCCTCGGTGTGGGGGTGCGGCCCCTTCGGGAGGGCTACAGAACCCCTGGGTGGGCTACACACAGCCCTGGGGGGGTACAAACCCCCCTGGGTGGGCTACAGACGCCTCTAATGGGGTGCACACACCCCTAATGGGGTACAGAACTCCCTAATGGGATACACACACCCTTGGGTGGGCTACACACAGCCCTGGGTAGGCTACGCATCCCCCTGGGTGGGGGTACAGACCCCCCTAAGGAGGGACACATCCCCCCGGTGGGCCACACACACCTGGGGAGGTACCCATCCCCCCTAATGGGGCACACATCCCCCCGGGGGGTACACCCCCCCTAATGGGGTACAGACCCCCGGGTGGGCTACACCCCCCCGGTGGGGTACACACACCCCTAATAGGGTACACACCCCCGTGTGGGGTACAGACCCCCCCTAATGGGCTACACACACCCCTAATGGGGTACACACACCCCTAATGGGGGACACACACCCCCGGATAAGGTACAGACACCCCCACTGGGGTACACACCCCCCTGGTGGGGTGCACACCCCCCGGGTGCTGGGTCAGTGGGGTGCTGAGGAGGACAGTAGGGTGCTGGGGGGGGTCATTGGGGTGCTGGGGGGGCATTAGGATGGGGGTGAACACGGGGCTGGCCTGGGGGGCTGCCCTGAGCCCCCCTCCCAGCACAGCCCTCGGGGGTCAGTGGGGCCCTGGGGGGTGACCGGGGTGACCCCCCACTGTCCCGTCCCCCCCCTTGCTCCCCTCCCATCCCCCCC